GGGTTAGACCAGGGCAACTCCACGTGTCTCAGAGGAGAACTGTGCTCCAAAGGGTTTCCACTGGCTGATGTGCAGAAGAAAATCCCCAGTCTTTCTTCTGAGGTGCTTCTGGATGGCTTTGAACCTCCAACCTTTCAGTTAGTCGCTAAGTGGGTTAGCCATCTGCACCACTTAAGGTTCAGGTACAGTATTATGAGCCTATATTACTTCCTGTGTCAGGAGAGCAGCAGCATCAGAGTAAAGCCTGGTCTCCTGGGATCCTCCCCTTTAAGATATTTGGATGCAAAGTGGGAGTTGGGTGCGTTTTCAGACTCTCTGGTCATCTCACCTAAGACCTAAGTAAGAAAGCCTCCTTAGGAGGACAGGTGTACTAAATTTGACTCTTCTCCTGGTTGGGTTAGCTTGACCGTACAAAATCATCTTTTGATTCATGATATGTTGTAAACCAAGATACTCACAAGCTGGATTCTGAGCATTCTTATTGTCTTGGATTCTATTTTCTCTAGCAGACAAACTTCCAACACTGTATCTTATAGGAAAATTCCAACTCACAAGATAACATTGTCATGCCTTTTTCCACCCTTATCTTCATGTCAGATGATGACATATATAACAGTAGTATGTAGCCTCCACTGAGTTAAGAAAAACTACCTGAAGGTTGAGCTTTGAAGGATGAGTAGGATTCTAATCCCCACCAGTCAGAAACCATTAGTGCAAAGGAATTTTTACCAGAAAGTTCTGTGATAGGCTTGGCCCCTGACTCCTATGTGTGCATGCCTTCATAGTTTGTACTTTGCATCATAGCTAATCCATGTTTACAAATTAAAAGTTAGAAGCATCCCTGCATCAAACAAGTCTACCAACACCATTCTTCCAACAGCTTGTGCTTACTTTGTGCTTCTGTGTCACATTTGACGGATTCTTAGGGAACTTCAAACTTTTTCTTCATGCTATTGCATACTTAATACACTACAAAGCCCAAACCCAAACCCACAGCCATCGTATTGGTTTCGATTCGCAACCACCTTGCATAGGATTTCTGAAGCTATAAATCTTTATGAGAGCAGAAAGTTGCATCTTTCTCACACAGAGTAGCTGGTGGGCTTGAACTGTTCACTTGTGGTTGGCAGTCCAGTGCTTACCCTACAGCGCCACCAGGCCTTCTAATACACTGCAGTGCAGTGTAGATATTTTTTATTTGCACTGGGAAACCAAAAAAATCACATGTTTTTCTTGGCTGCAACATTTGCCTTATTAATGGTCTGATCTGCAACCGAACCTCAGTATCTCTGAGGTCTACCTGTGTACTGAGTACATGAAGTACCAGGACTGAGGTCTGAGGACACAGAATCCCAGGACTGAGGACTGAGGACACAGAGGTCCAGGACTGAGGACACAGAGGCCCAGGACTGAGGACACAGAGGCCCAAGACTGAGGACTGAGGACACAGAGGCCCACCGTTAGACTCCAGGCAGAGAGAGTCCTGTCTAGGACTGGGACACGCTGTGCCCTGCTTCTGAGGACCTGCCACTAGTGTAGGGAAGAGACTGATACGAGCTCACGTTCTGGGTTAAGCACAGCGGAAGCGCAGGGAGGGGGAAGTCCTACCCACAGTCTGGGCATTTCTTTAAAAGACAAAAGCAGGCATTTATTTAAAAAACAAAACAAAACTATTTTTGGTGCTGAAAATATACATAGCAGAACAAACACCAATCTCACATTTTCTAGATGTACAATTGGGCCCTGGTGTGGATTAGCACTGGACTGGCAACCCCAGGTTGGTGGTTCAAAGTCACCAGTTGCTCTTGGAAACCCTATACAGCAGTAGTATGATTCGGAACCCACTCAAGGGCATACAACAACACCAGATGTGCAATTCAGTGACAAGAATGACATTCTTCCAGGTTGTGCAGCCATTTTTACTTTCCTTTTACAAATTGTGCCTTTCCCATTCACGTGAATGCACTGCCCCTAAGTCCCTGTCAGGGGTCCTGGTGTAGTGCTGTGGGATAAATCACTTCAAGGTGGGATAATGACCGTCAGGTCGACAGCTCAGACTCACCAGCCACCCTGTGGAAACCCTATTCAGAGTCGCTATGAGTCAGAACTGACTCCACGGCACGTAACAACAACAAGTCTCCCGTGTAACCTTTCAGTTGCTGTTGACAGTTTGATCCTATACAGACAGTCTTCTAAGAGGTTATTGTCCAAGGCAGATAGCCTTCACTAATTCAGTTCAGCTATTGTTTGATTTGGTAGTGTAGTGATTATGAGTCGGGCTGCTAACCTCAAGGTCAGCAGTTTGAAACTACCAGTGGTTTCTCAGGCGAAAGATGAGGCTTTCTGCTCCCATAAATATTAATAACCTCAGAAACCCAGTATAAAGTTGCTATGAGTCAGAACCAACTCCAAGACACATAACAGATTGTTTAATTTAAAGAAGACTTCAGGGACTATTTTTGGTTTCAGATTGTAAAGATGATCTCAGAGCAATAGTTTTGGGGGTTTATCCCGTCTTCTTGGCTCCAGAAAGTCTGGATTCCATGAGAATTTGAAATTGTGGCAGTTGAACATTTCTTAAGCACGTCCCATCTGTCAGCAGCAATCCTAGAGTGTTTCCCTGTATTAACCCCTCACAGCTCTCATGAGTGGTGGTCCTGTTTCCATTGTCATTATTCTTTTTGCAAACAGAAATATACCATGGTGAGCAGGTGTTTACTCTGCCGGGATTCATAGTGTGCTTTGAGAGTATGAAAAGGGAACACTTTGTTCTGGTTCACAAGGGATTATTCAACATTGACTCTGGACAGGCTGGGTGTAGAAAAAGGGGTGTGGGGTTAAGAAGCAGCAGCCATGGTCAGCAATCAGCAGTGGGATCCACATATGAAGTGGACAAGGTCCCTGGGCTGTCCACATCATGGGCTCAGAAGGTCAAGACCTGCATGAGGCAATAGCAGCCTCCCCTGGGTACTTGGGCTAAGCTTAAAGAACAAAAGATGAGGAGACCCCCAGGGAGGCTCAGGAGGGATGCCACAAAGCCTGCAATAATGGCCTTCTGCTGTGGCTCTCCAGAAATGAATGGGAAGTTCCTCATTTCTCACACCACAGCTGCTGAGGTTAAGCAATTGTGAATGCAAATGAGGCTGTGTGGTGTCCTTTCCAGACAGCAGGGCCCAGAGACAACACATTCTCAGAGCTCCGAGGACCAGGATGGTAGTGGGCAGGGCAAGCAGGGGCTGCTCTGTGGTCAAACAGGGCCCCAGAGTCCAAGCCCAATCCCCTGGAAGCATCGGGCCCCTGGGCCTTTGCAGCATCTGCCCTTTGGCGGGGACTACAGCTGTCCTGTCTATCCACAGCTGTGCACTGCCTGTAAGGGGCAGGCCTTTGGCTCATGAAACAAATCCAATGTGACCTTCTAGAAGAAACTAATCAAGTTTCACATTCCTCTTTTCTCTGCAAATGCGCTCAGCCCCTGTAGTGACACTAGATACAGAAATGACCCTGGACAGGAAGTGACAAGCGAGCGCTTCCATTGTGAGCTGGCATCTCTGCAGCCCACTTGGAAGCTACCACGCGTAGGTGACAGTCCACTCTTCATCAGTCGGCTGGCTGCCTGTCTACAACTTCTCCCCTTTACCTAACACGGGGTTTGTGCCAGGCATTGGGCTGCATTTTGCATGTGAAACCTTATTTAATCCCCTAACCACCCTATGAGATAGGGTCTGTTGTCAGCAACAGTGGTACATGCTGGTAAATATTTAACAACTGGTGGGAGGGGCTTGCATTGTTTATCATTTCCCATGGTGTCAATTCTTCAGCGGTGACCCATTTCAAACTGCCAGTTTGATCTTACTGAAAGCAGAGGTGCAAAGAAATGGGCACAAGTGCCTCTTGGGAGTCCTACAAGCTGGCTCCCACACACACTGTGTAGAGTTCAGAAAGGCTATCAGTCAGTCATCCCTTTCACAAGGACACACTAGTGGAGTTACTTGCCCAACATTACACAGGAAGTAAGGGGTAGACCTGGAGTCCCTCTGAGATCCACCTCATCCTGGAGTCTGGGTTCTTCATCATGTTTTTGTTGTTGTTGCTAATCTGTGTAAGGAGTTTGGTGTAGCATTGAGGGTAATGCACTGGACTGTTAAGTCAGTTTGAACTGCAAGGTCAGCGGTTCAAACTCATCAGCCACTCCTCAGAAATCCTATACAAGGTTGCTACAAGTCAGAACCAACTTGATGACCCTAAACAACAACAACAACAACAATTCTGTGTAAGGATTCCTGGTGTGGCTCTGTAGGATCAGCACTGGACTGTGAACCACAAGGTCAGCAGTTCAAACCTACTAGCTGCTTCTCAGAAACCCTATACACAGGATTGTTATGAGTCAGAAATGACCTGACAACATGTAACAATGCATTCTGTGTAAATGCTTCCAAGGGGGCAGTTCACACTCAAGCTCTGGGGGCCATAGACCCTCGTTCACATCCTACTGGCTATGGGATTTCATGCAAGGTCTGAACCTCCCCGTGCCTCAATGTCGTCCTCCTTTATTAGCCTGGAATAAAACAAAAAACCCAAAAATGATACCAGTGGGTCAATCCTGACTCATAGTGACCCTGTGTAGGGTTTCTGAGGCTGTAAATCTTCACAGAAGCAGAAAGCCTCATCTTTCTCCAATGAAGTGATTGGATGGTTTGAACTGCCAACTTTGTGGTTAGCAGTCCAGTGCTTATGCTACCGTGTCACACAAGGACTCATAATCTGGAAGAGTTGCTCTAATACGGTCTGTCATAAGGATCAAATTACCTTGAATAACAGAGCTCGCTATTTACAAGGTATCCCTCATCTGAATTGAATGTCTATCGTCCATCATTACATGTCTGCAAACCATCCCTCCAATGTTACTGTCACCATGTTGTACCTTGATTCATGCCTTCACAGCTCAATGTGGCACCAAGGTGGGGAAAGTAACTAAAGGTTGCCTTTTTCTTCTTTTTCAGTTGCTGAAAACGATGCTCCTAGTTTTTGCCCTTCAGTTGTTCATCCTCCTCTCGCAGAGAATGGTAGGTTCATCATCCTTTTGCACTTTCTCATGGAAGTCCCACCTCACCTTCTTCCTCCTCTTCCTCCTTACTCTCACTTTGATAATGCAAATTCTTATCACCCTTGTCTGCCATTCTGTTAGTGTAAATGAGAATATGTATTACTGTGCTTATTGCAGAGGCATGAATATGTATTATTGCATTCCTGCATAGATATGAATATGTATTACTGTGCTCGTGCAGCAGTATGAATATGTATTATATTCATGCTTAAGTGTAAATACATCTATGGCACTGATGTGTATATGTGAGTATGCATTATGTTCATGCATTATTATGCTCACCTATGACGTAGTGTTATAGGGTTAATGCGCTGGGCTGCAAGGCTGCCTTGAACTGCAAGGTCGGCGGTTCTACCTCACCAGCCACTCCTTGGAAACCCTATATAGGGACGCTATGAGTCGGAATCGACTCAACAGCACTTAATAAAAACAGCAACATACATGTGAATATGCATTATTATGCTCAAGCGTTGTTGTTGTTGTTGTTAAGTGCTGTTGAGTCAGTTCCGACTCATAGCTACCCTGTATAGGGCTTCCAAGGTTTGAACCACAGACCTTGTGGTTCAAATTGACCTTGCAGTTTATCTCACAGCGCCACACCAGGTCTCCACAGTCAGGTAGTTGTTGTTGTTGTTATGTGCCGTGGAGTTGGTTCCGACTCATAGCAACCCTGCACAGGGTTTCCGAGGCTGTAAATCTTTACAGGAGCAGACTGCCTCATCTTTCTTCCGCAGGACCACTGGTAGTTTCGAACTGCTTACCTTGTGGTTTGCAGCCCGATTCGTAACCACTATGCTACCAGAGCGCCTCACGGTCAGGTAGAGCTATGTGAATATGTTTTACTCTCTGCATGCAAATCCCAGCACCATCCTCATTGTACAGATGAGGAATCCAACTCACAGAGATGAAAAGACTTTGCTCAAATAGCAGAGGAACTTGAAGCAGAGTAGGACTGAGGCCTAGCTCGCCCAATTTTCATCCCGAGGCTTTTGCACTATAGCAAGTAACACCTGTTGTGCTCAATCAAGTCAGTTCTAACTCACAGCAATCCCCCCCTACGGCGGAGTAGAACTGACCCGAGACTTTCCAAGGCTGTCATCTTTAGAGAGCAGAGTGCCACATCTTTTCTCCCACAGAGCAGCTGGTGGGTTTAAACCACTGACCTTTTGGTTAACAGCCAAGTGTTTAGCTATTGTGCCACTAGGACTCCTTGTGAGTAATGTCTGTTGTTGGTGTTAAGTATTATGACCCTGTATAGGGTTTTTGAGGAGCGAGTGGTGGTTTGAACCGCCAGCCTTGCAGTTATCTCACAGTGCCTCACCAAGCCTTCAAGTCCTGTCCAGACCTGCACCATGCTGAGGCACTGCTCAGAATTGTGGATTTGTACCTGGAAGTAGAAGGAGTCAGCTGTTTGTTAGTGCAAGACATTTGTGGCTTGCCGTCATTGGGGTATGCTGGGAGACCTAGTGGTGTCTTGGGTGAAGCACTGGTCCCTCCCAGGAACAGGAGACAGGCTGCACAAAGCTCCCCTGGCCACAGGAAGAGTGGGGAGGGTGGGTGCATTGGGGCCTGGCTGCTCCTAATGGGCAATGTGGAAGTGGTGTCCAGCATCGGCCTCGCTGTGCTGTTCCCTCTTCTGCTTTGTTAGTTAGGAAATGAGAGAGTCGGCCAGGGATGTAGACACCACTCAGTCTGGAAAGCAAAGCCACACTCATTCCTGTCCTGTGACATGGTGTCTGAGCTTCTTGAGACATCTGTCATTATAATGCTGCCTGGAGAAACAAAATCGAGCTTTAAGTGGAAGTGGGAGGTTATTATTCACAGCCAAGATGGGGCTAGCAGCATAAACACCCTCAAGCCGTGCTGCCTGTGTTCCTCATGCAGTTAAAAGATCTGGCTTTGGAGATGATATACAAAAGGTACTTTTTCTGAGCATTCTCTCCAGATTGCCTATGCTAAGCCCTTGATGTGACTTTAGCATTGTGAGCTGATATGAAATAGATCCTGTCATGACCCCTTCACAGGTGGCACAAGTGGGGCTTCAAGAGCGGTCAGGCACGGAGGGAAGGACTTCACGCCTGGTAATGTTGAGGATCAGTGGAAAAAGAGGAAGGCCCTCAGTGAGAGGGACTGACCCAGCATCTACAGCAATGGGTTCAAGCACAGGACAACACAGGACCAGGGCGCATTCTGTTCTGTTGTCCATAGGTTCACTTTGAGTTGGAACTGGCTCAATGCTGTCTTATAACAACAACAACAACAACAAGGTATCTAAGTTACAGTTAGCTCATGTAAAAGCCAGACATTGGTCAAAATTGATTTAAGGTAGTGTGTAAACACAGTTGAAATAATCCAACAGTCCTAAAAAGGTTGCTGGTTAAAAGAGCAGTTCCTTGCCCCATCCCTACCCACCTGCCATTCCTGCTTCCCAAGGCCACCACTCTCAACTCTGGTAACCACTGATTTTCTTACATCATGATCACCACTCTTCTAAATAATATGTGCATTTGCTCTTCCCTTGATTTGTTAACGTTAGAAATCACGGTTGAGTTCCTACCTTCTTTTATCACACCCTTTCCATTTTTTTCCTTCCTCTTCACTGTAGGATAAGCACGAGACTGACCGCAAGACCTATGGTTTAACTGCCCCCCAAGTCATTCCAAGGGAGAAAGATGAGGCTGTCTGCTCCCATAAAGATTAGCAGTTAGCAGTCTTGGAAACCCTATATTGGCATTGAATCGATGGCAGTGGATTAGGTATTGGGTCTTTGAAATACAGTTATATCAAGATTTGGGGTTAAAGCAAGAATAAATCTTTACATTATCATGGGCACATTAATATGGTTCACTAACGATCCCAAAGTAATCATGATATCCAGTATTGTTGTCAGCATGTGGGCAGGGGTTCTCTGAGGACCCTCCTGCTTTCAGACTTTTCCATTAGGTCTACTGTTCCGGCATTTCTACATTCTAGGCTTCCTGAAGGACCCGTGGGAACAAATAGGTCATGTCATGTGGATGCTGCCTTTATAAGGACTGAAGTAATTATTCCACTTGCTAATCAGTCAACCCTTTCATGACCTGTGAGACACATCTTACTCACCTTTTTCAGACTCTCAGGTTTTGTGGGAAGCTTCTGTCCCAGATGTAGTACATGCTGCCACCTGGTGGGGACATGTATAACTGTGTGACTCTAAAGAACCAGTCCTTACCTCACCAACCCTACCACCAGGGTCCACTTGGGACACATATGTCCCATAAGTGGTGGTGGTGGTTATGTGCCATGGAGTCAGTTTCGACTCAGAGCAACCCTATATATTGTTTCCGAGGCTGTAAATCTTTATGGGAGCAAAAAGCCTCATCTTTCTCCCACAGAACCACTGGTAGTTCGGACTGCTGACCTTGAGGTTAGCAGCCCGACTCATAACCACTATCCTACCAGAGCTCCATATAGTTGTATCAAAATTCATATTACCTCAAAAATGATTTTTCATTTGATTTCAGTGTGACTTCCAGTAGTAGAGAACTTGTGGTATCAGAAAAAAAAAAAAAAAAAATTCAAAGCAGATAATAGTTTGGTCATGAAAAGTTGAACACACCTCCATCTCCTTAGTCCTCTGCCTAAGAAGTTTTTGAAATCTCTTATCTGCTCTTTGCTCTTTTCCTGTAGCTCTTCTTTCTTTAGATTTGGTTTGCATTTTTGTATTGCTTTCCTATTGGTATTGTAACACAGTAACACACAGTGAGTCTTACAAGAGCAGAAATGTGTTGCCTGATAGCTCTGGAGCTGAAAAGTCCAAAGATAGTTGTGATGTGGGCCACATTGTTGCTGTTGTTAGGTGCCAAGGAGTCTGTCTGTTCTGACACATACCACCCTATGCTCTCCACAGGACGAAACTCTGCCCAGTCCTACACCATCCTCACAATTGTGGGCATGTATGAGCCCATTGTTGCTGCCACGGTATCGTGTTCCCTCCAAGGTCCATAGGGACTATTGTGCTCTGGTTCCTCCAGCTTCTGGTAGCTCCAGGAGCTGCTGAGCTTTCGTTGGCTTGAAGCTACATCTTCTCATGGCCCCATGTCTGTTTCTCTGTCTCATTTCTGTCTCTCCTTTTTTTTTTTTTTTTTTTTGCTGCTTCTTTGTTCTGTTTTTTTTTTTTTTTTTAGTTATAAAGACACAATTCATCTTGGATAGGACTCATGCTAGTTTCACATTATGTTCATGTGGTTGTTGTTGTTGTTATGTGCCGTGGAGTTTGTTCCGACTCATAGCGACCCTGTACAGGGTTTCTGAAGCTGTACATCTTTACGGAAGCAGAAAGCCTCATCTTTCTCCCACGGAACAACTGGTAGTTTTGAACTGCTGACCTTGCGCTTCGCAGCCCGATTTGTAACCACTACACTATGTAACTAATGTTAATTTAACTGAGGATATTTTCAAAGACCTTATTCCCTAACAAGATCACATTCAAAGTTATGAACGCATCTTTTGCAAGGGCCCACTATTCAAAGCACTGATCTTTGTGGATTCAGATCTTTTTTTACATTGTTTTATTTCATTTTATAGGGGTTTTTACAGGGAGAGAAGATAGACGTGCTATGCTTAATGAAAAACAGTGAAAATACAGTCTTTTTTTTCAGAAAATGTTAACCTCAGAACTTTATCCTCAACACGCCAACTAAGCCTCAGGAGACAGTCCAATTATAGTATACTATGTAAAAAAAAATTAAGTGCAGAAACAGGTAAAAAAGGGCACCCCACAATTCAGAAGTTACACCCTAACAATGAACCTACTCTACTGGCTTATTTTCCTCCAGTTTCCTGTGGTCTGCTGTGGAAAGCCAGGTGTAATTGAAGTCTCTCTGTTTATAAGGTTGCATTTTCTAAGCCTTGTCTTACATCATATGAGTATTTTCAAATAGTTATACATAAGTAAGTCAAACAATATTGCTTCCAGAG